AATCACTAGCTACTTTTTCGTCCGACTCCACACCCGCACAGATTCCCATCCTTCCACACGATCCCGATTCCGCTAAGTTGTATCTGGAATGAACGCTTACCGAAATTCACCTATGCCCTTATCTTGCACGTGTATGCACAAACAGTGGGTACTAACTGAACTTCGTCCTAATCTTGGAGTATGAAATGTCCCCATATCTATAAAGATTTTCTCCCCGTTGATTACGATTGGCGTATGAGATTTTTAACTGAAACGTAAGCCTGTGTTTGCAAAATTTGTACACAGTACAATAGCTTATATTTACCCATCTTAGCGAACCAATGAGTGAATCAGTGGTTGAACTCTCGCCGTCATGGTCTTTTGCGAAACCGATTGGTTTGATCCATGCACTCCGAATTTTCCCACCTTCCTTAGTTTAGATAATTCGGTCATCGTCTGATCATCACAAACACACATATATACATACAAACATACATACATAAATACGTACATAACCACGTACAGTTAATAAAAGACTCACTCTTTCGGTTGCGGGAACCAGTCGCTTGTGGGTTTCGGAATCCCAGACTCCCACCAGTCCCGATACGCCTTCACACCAGATCGACCACAACATTCAAACATGTTATGTATAGTGTCTAGTATGTGAATGACATCTGTCTGGTTGCCAGTAATTGGATAGTGGCGATTGTAATACTGATATTGTAAATGTTCAATCCAGTCATTCACAATCTGTCGCCAAGCCGCAATACCTGTCAGATGATTGCAGTCTACTGTAACAGAAATGAAACGTTGTAAGAATTTCAGGTATCACAAGCCGGATGGGGAGGGGTCAATAGAAAAATGATATCGATGAAAAAATTCCCGTTTCAATTTCGTTTGGATTTTTAACACTCGTACTAAATACTTTGGTTCTCAGTAGCTTGACGGTTCGATTGCCAATGTACCATCGTTCATACATGGATAATACGGTTGATGGAGAGAAAAGAAATCAAAGAAGCTGCATATTGGAAGTTCCCCCCCCCCTACACACACCCACGTGGTAACGTAACGTTATCACTCAGATCACTAAGCTCGGTGAGTTAATGCCGACGCGATAGTTATCGGGGTCTGAGTAGTCTCAACGTTTCACTGGTTTTATAAGAGATTGGAACAACCCCTATAATGTGCGAGATGGACAGAACAAGCAATGAGGAGAGGTCGGAGACTTCTGGGATACACATCTTGAAGGTGATATGAGTGTGTTTGGGTTGAGGGATTTCATCGGGTCCTGTTGACTTGTCTGGGTTTGATGAGAGCGTGATTTGTCTTGTTTTTCTGGTCGGGGTGATTGGTGTGTGAAAATATAGCTTTTTGAACGGTATGTGGACGGTTGGATAGATTAATCAGATGGGTAGAATGGAGTTGGTATCGAATCAGGAGTTAGGGCTTCCAGTTTTTCAAGTTGATCCCGTACTAAATCAGGACTTGGATGAACAATTCAAGGAAGTTTGGTGCAACAGAAATTACGAAATAGTGGTGCCATAACAGGAAGTCACAAGTTCCCGCTTTTAGAAGGAATAGTGTTGCTCTTCTCTCGACAGAGCCCTCGTTGGCCTTCAGTATGTTGGGTTTGCAGTATTTGCGTGCTTGTGTAAAATGTTAACTAGAATGGTATGGTGCAAGGCACTGCCCATGGAACACCACTTTCTTACAAACAGTATGGCAAGCATCTGAAACATCGCTGTTGCCTTGCAGTCCGCGCTTGGTTGCACAAAGCCTAGAATGCATCCTCGAACAAGGCCTACTCTGGACCGGGCAACCTAGTAGTACAACAGCCTACAACGCCAGCAATGATGAATTTTTCGACTTTCATGTGCATTCAGTCTACCACTTCCGCACCTACAGATAAACACTCTACACCCTACACACGCTCATGCCTCCCCAATACCACCTTCACCCTCCTAACCCATTCCCTCTCTCTCGGGTTCTTCAGACGATATTGCTAACAGTAGCATCTCAGTTGGAAACTCTGCCGCTGTTCTCTCGTGTCCTACTTCGACAGCCGTCCAATTCTC